ATGCTTCAAAACGAAACATACAGAAACAGAATGAAACATATCGAAACGGAACGATAAATTCCGAAACGAAACAGAACGATAACACATTATGTCACAACAAAACCTAGCACAAAACAACAAGAATCTCAATTCTGTATCAGTGATAATATTGACAACAAAAAAGGCAACAACATAAAAATAAGATAACATTAGAAACAAAAAGAATAAATTATTATTGTTATCATTATTATTATTATTATTATTGTTGTTGCTGTTATTTTTATTATTATAATTATTTTGCGCAATGTCAATTAAGATGACGATAATTACTGCGATTGGAGAATGTAGAAATAAAAATTAAATGGATAAAGAGGATTATTATGGAGATCCGAGCCGAGATGGTACTGATGATGATGATGCTACTGCTTCTACTACTACTGCTGCTGTTGCTGTAACTACTGCTGCTGCTGCTGCTGCTGCTGATGGTAATGATGATATTGATGATGATGACGACGACGATGTCTTAAGATGATGATAATTATGATTATTATGATTATTATGATTATTATGATTATTATGATTATTATTATTATTATTATTATTATTATTATTATTATTATTATTATTCAATTAGCTCTCGTAATATCCTTAACCTCACCCGAGCCAATGTAATGTTGTGCCTTATTTCTAAATCACTCACACTAAATTTAGTTCAATTACTTTATGCACATACACACACGCACACACACACACACAAATTTACATACATACAAACACACAAACATACATATATACATACATACATACATATATACATACATACACACATACATACATTACAAACAAAAATGGTAGTATATTAACGTCATTTAAGTTCATAACGTAATTGAAATGAGTCTTTGGAGCCAACTGTAACTATGCTTTGGTCTGTTTGTATGTGTATTTGTATGCATGTTTGTATGTACATGTACATGTTTGTTTGAATGTGTACGTATGTTTACAAAACAACAGACTGTTCTACTAATTACTAATGTTTTACTACAATACAATGTTTGTGTTGGTGCAGATGTTTGAAGATGTTTGTATATGTTGATTCGTATGTTTGTATATATGTTTGTATATGCCGATGTGTATGTTTGTATATGTCGATACGTATGTTTGCATGTGTTTGTATATGTTGTTTGTGTTATAAATGTACTTTTTGGCGTTTCCATGACATCCCCGTGCATGAAATATACTGGTCAGTCAGCACTGTAGATGAAAAACGACAAACGCAAGCACACAGTTAGGCACACAAACACACACACGTACACACACGCAAAATACACACACACTTAGATACACGAAGACACATGGGTACTGAAATACACAGACACACACTCACTCGTGCATAAATGAACAACAAAAACGTAGGTGCGTTGGACGTGTGCAATTCAATAAGTATCAAGTAACAAACTACAAACAGCCTATAAACCCATATATAAGTATATGAGTATGTTTATACAAATATACGTAGATAAAGAGAAAAAAGAGGGAAACAGAGAGAGAGAGAAAGGAAAGAGAGAGAGAGAGAGAGAGACAGAGACAGACAGACAGAAACAGAAAGGGTTATAACGTGTTCACAGTTGTAAAGAATGAAAACGAAAATGTACATTTAAATACTACATATCATAACCAACCATACCCCGTTGTCAACACGGTTTATAAAGTGCATTGTCTGAAAACTTAAAATTGCTCTTAGACTCAAGGCAGTAGATGTGTAATAAAAAAACATATCAAAAATTGACCACGAGAATTCACAGAACAACATTCAAAACTCTTCATTGTGATTACATTAAACCAACCATTAACTAGCCTGTCAACAACAACAACAACAACAACAACAACATCAACAACAACAAAAACATCAACAACAACAAAAACAACAACAAAAACATCAACAACAACAACAGCAATAACAACAACAGCAACAACAACAACACAGAGACTATTGAATGAATGAACCCAAAACAAACCAAACAAACTCACAACGCACCCAAAGATCCTGAAATATCAAATTAAAAGGTTTAAAAGTTAATTTAAGGTGCGATGTAAAACGATACTCCGTGACAAAAAACACTGAATAAGATGTGGTAAGATGGGATAATATGAAGACAAAATGAAGCGCTGTGAATGGTCTCTCATTAATTTATTGATGACGACGACGACGACGATGATGACGACGATAACGATGATGAGGATTATGATTTCTATTGATGATGATGATGATGATGATGATTGCAGTGATGAGGTCTGTGTAGGAATGATTAAAAATAACAAAAGTAAAACAACAATATAATAGCCAGAGTTTGCTACAACAATAACAAATGCAAGTAAATGGCAAACAATCACATCATCGTCATTTTAACTTGAAAAATCTTAAAAATTGATAAATGAATGAATTATTGAAATGAATAAATAAATAGATGAATGAATGAATGAACAAACGAACGAACGAATGAATGAACGAACGAACGAACGAACGAACGAACGAACGAATGAATGAATGAATGAATGAATGAATGAATGAATGAATGAATGAATGAACAAACAAACGATGGATGAACACAAACAAAAACCAATAAATATAGAAGAAGAACAAGCAAAATCAAAAACTTTAAAAAATATGTTTAAGACAAAAGGAAAGAAACAAAGAAAGAGAGAAAGAAAGAGACCTAGAAAGAGAGAGAGAGAGAGAGAGAGAAAGAGAGAGAGAGAGAAAGAGAGAGAGAAGCAAAAATAGATAGTAAGAGTGCAAAATGGAGGAAAATGAAAAACAAACATGCACACGTGTTTATTGAAACTTTCCAAAACAAAAAGTTGATACCTGACGATAAAGATCGCAAGAAGTTGAGATGCGTGTTGTTCATTCCACCATTGTCTTTCCATTCATTCCTCAACATGATACCCTAGTGAAAGCAAATACACTCACACACCCGCACACGCCCACACACACATACATACAAACACACACACACACATACAAACTGACGCATATACAATCTTATACACATACAAAAATACATACAAACATACATACCCACATACAAATATGCATATATACAAACAATATACAAAATAAATACACAACAAATCAGTCATTAAGCAGAATAGCTTTAATTGCACATCGCGAGATTTGTGTATAATTAAATATGTGCTATAATATATATGTATCTATCACTGTATGTGTGTGTGTGTGTGTGTGGGTGTGGGTGTGTGTGTATGTGTGAATAAGCAGGTGTACGCTGAAATTGTATACACATAAAGTACAAAAAACTGTATGTACGTCCGCATACACGCACGCACACGTGGAAGTACACGCCACAATTGTACGCATTCTTTGATCCGTGCGCTGCACACTTAACTAACTTATTCGCACGTGTTCAAATGGACGAATGATATTTGAAATGTATATCTATTTACTCCTCTTTTTTTCTCTCTCTCTCTCTCTTTCTCTCTCTCTTTCTCTTTCTTTCTTTCTCTTTTCCTCTATCGTTCTTTATTCTTTTCCTCACTCTCTTTTTTAATTTTTTTTCCTGGTCTCTTTAAAAGATTACTATTACAGAACTCGATTATTGTATATAATTCTCAATAGTTATTGTAGTAATAACGATAATAATAATAATGATGATGGTAATAAACATCATCATCATCATCATCATCTTCATCATCAACTTCCATTCATTCCGCACACACATACACACGCAACCTGTCAACCCACTGTTTTTATCTTAAACTCAGACGCGTGAGTTACACTAAGACAAGAGAGAGAGAGAGAGGGAGAGAGAGAGAAAGAAAGATAGAAAGATAAAAAGAGAGAAAGAGAGAGATAAAGAGGTAGAAAGATAGCATCCCTTTTTATTATTATAATTATTATTATTGTTGTTATAGTTATTATATTTTGTTGTTAAAATACCTGTCTCTTTAATGTGCTATAATTTTGTTGCTGTTTATTAATTGTTGTTGTTACTGTTGTTTTTATTGAGATGTCTTTATGTTGTAGTTTTTGTATGTTATTGTTATTATTATTATTTTTATTATATATTATATATATTATTATATATATATATATATATATATATATATATTATTTTATATTATCATATATTATTACTTTATTATTGTTGTTGTTGTTGTTATTATTATTATTGTGGTTGTTGTTTGTTATTGTGCTGCCACATATTTCTTATATTGTAAGTTTGGTTGGTTGGATGGATGGAAGGTTGTTCGTTCGTTTATTTAAGTGAGTGAGAAATATGATGATGAAGAAGAAGAAGATGATGGTGGTGGTGATGATGATGGTGGTGGTGATGATGATGGTGGTGGTGATGATGATGGTGGTGGTGATGATGATGGTGGTGGTGATGATGATGGTGGTGGTGATGATGATGGTGGTGGTGATGATGATGGTGGTGGTGATGATATACAAAAAAGAGATGATGTATCGAAGGAAAAATGATGATATAAACGACGACGATGATGAAGTTGCTGGAAATAATGAACAACAACAACAATAATAATAATAATTATTATTATTATTACAATAATGATATATTTGATGATATGGCGCTTCATTTATTGTTTAGTCATCAAGATTTATTTAATAAATTTTTGTGTGTAGAATTTTTAAGAATATTTTTTTATTTTTTTTGCGTTTCGTTCTCAACACATCAATCACTCAATCAGTCACTGCCACTGCAACACCCACCGCTTCGTGATCATCATCATCATCACTATCATCACTATCATCAGCATCGTCGTCATCATCATTATCATCAACAGCAGCACCAGCAACAGCTGCTGCAGTAGCTTCACTATTCTCTTCAACATTATCTCCTTCAGAATCACAATTATCATCGCCATCTACAGAAAAATCCTCTTCAATACTATTATAATTATCACCACCATCATATCGTCATCATCACCATATCGTCATCATCATCATCATCATATCATCATCATCGTCGTCGTCATCGTCACCAGGAACGCCAGTAAACAGGATTCCCATCATGGCCAAACAGACGCTGGACTTGTACGAGCTGTTTAGACTCGTCATATCTAAAGGTAAATAATGAAAATAATAATTATAATTATTATTATAATTATTATTATAATTATAATAATTATAACTACAATAATAATATTATACAAAGGGTACACATATAAAATATATACAAATACACATATATACACAGTGAATACGTTCACAGACACGCGATACAAACAAATGAAAGTCAAAAATTTACATACATTTCACGAACTGATGCAAAAGATACAAATAAAACATACAAAATACACAAAATACAAAAATATAACAAACAAAATACCTAGAATACAAATATACCATGCAAAAAAGACAAGATACAAAATAAAACATACAAAAATACAGAAAATACAAATATTACTTACAAATTACACAAAATACAAATATAACATACACATTACCTAAAATACAAATGTAACATACAAAATTAAACAAAATACAATACAAAAAATACCCAAAATGACATGTTAAGGTGGCTTGGTAGAAGTTATAAACAAGAAGTTATGGAGGGAGATAACCAAAGGCCTCAACCTCCCATCATCAATAACAAGCGCTGCTTTCACGCTCCGAACTCAGTTAGCAATTTTTTTTATTATGTTTTTGATAAAAAAATAGTTTTTTTTGTTTTTTTTTGAAAAAAATAAGTTATTTCAGTATTTCGAAAATGTTTTACTTTTCAAATAGTTTATTTCCGTATGGTTTTTTCAGTTTTTAAAATGAAAATTAGATTTAATAAAGTTATGTTTTGTCTTCTAATGTAAGCATTTGTTAATATATTTGTCAGATGCATTGGAATAGTTATCTTAATTGTAGTCATTGTCTAGTTTTATTCATCATCATCATTATCATCGTCGTCGTCATTATCACCATCATCATCACCATCGTCATCATTGTATCGCTCTTTCCATCATAAGCTACGCATCAAACCCATCCATCAATTTTCACGAATATATTAAATCACCCATATCACCATTATTACGGACAGTCATCATCAACAAAAACAAACAACACACACGCGCACAAACACACGCACACAGACATACACACGCACACACACACAGGCATACACATACACACACGCATACAAAAAAAACCAATCAAACACTAGTTCTTTCAATTTCATCCTTAATAATCGCCAAACCTTTACCCAAAGTTATAAGCTTTCACCATCACTACCTCAAATACCCTCTCGACATCAACATCTTAATACCCCAACAATACAAACCGTAATATCGTGACGTCACGATGACGTAGGTCGTACATGTTGTCCTCTGCTGCTGGCTCATAACGGCAGATATTATTTTATATATAGACGTATACCTACAATACATACACTCACGCACGCTCACACGCACACACACACGCACACACACACGCACACACACACATATACATATATATATATAATATTATATATATAATTATGCGTGATTTATGTTATCTAATGGTAAAGTAGAATTAGGATGATGATGACAAAGAGAGTAATCACATGTGACAAGTAGATTTAACTGATCCACTCATTCATTCATTTATCAATTCGTTCATTCATTCATTTTTTTCGCCATGCATTCGTTTCATTTTTTTTATTCATTTTTTCATTCGTTTCATTTTTCTTTTATAAATAAATTAAATAACAAATTAATCATCATCATCATCATCATCATCATTATCGTAACCTACAAGATGCTCCACATTACAGTGTCTTACGGACTGTTTACATTCTGGGCGGACAGTTGCGATAATTATGACGAAGAGGATGATGATGATGATGGCGATGATAACGATGATGATGATAATGATGACGATGGCGATGATAATGATGACGATGATGACGATGATGCTGATGATGATGATGATGACTATGATGATGATGATGATGACTATGATGATGATGATGATGACTATGATGATGATGATGATGACTATGATGATGAGGATGAGAAGAATGACAATGACAGTAGTGGCCTTATAAATCCAATATATTACATTGCCCGCCTTCGCTGCACATGTCCATATAAGGCCACGCGAGTTACGTCACTCGAGTCATTTATTTGGCGCTTCATTTTTTATTGTTTTTTGCGTTTTCAATCTCGAGATATTTATTGCAAAGTTGCTACAATCGTTACAGACTAATACCTTCTTTTCTATAAAATTGTCATCTTCACGTCACATGATCATCAGCTTCTGCATCTACGTTAATCCTAAAAATCATCACATCAATCACGCTCATCACATTTGGCATCACTGACTTTGGGCATCAGATTGATAATGTTAAAACTTCCATTGTTTTAAACTTCACAGCCATGTTTTAGCGCCATCACACCCAACATCCGTCATTATCGCCAGAATCTCCTCAAATCTTTTACACTCGCATTTTACAAACCATCACATCTTTACTCTTAAACCTACAATGACTGACCGACTGACTGACCAGTCAACTAACCATGCCAATCGACCAGATACATGAAGTACCTCTACCCATACGAGTGTGAGAAATTGAAATTAAGCAGCCTCTCAGAACTCCAATCGGCCATCGATGGCAATCGAAGAGAAGGCAGGAGGCCCGGGTTCGATTTTCCACCGTTTCCTCCAATGGGCCCTGGTGCACCTCACCTGGCCAACTTATTGGGGGGACTGCCACTTCCTCCTCAACCGCCCCATACGCCAGTTATGGGTGGTCCCGGTGGTGTGGTGGTCAATGGTGGCCTGAGGAATTCAGTTCCTGGTTTGATTTAAATTTTTTTATTTTTAGATTTGTATTTTTTGTTTTTTTGGTTATTCGACTTGTTTTGTTTTTTATGCTCCAAAATTCAAAAATATTTACTGTTTGTAAAGTCCATAATTGTAATGGAGGTATTAAATTAATCAAACAACTGCGATTAACATGCACCAGATAATAACACACACCAGTTCCAAAAATCCTATGCATACACCACACATGCATACACATAAATACACATAAACATACACGTACACATACACGTACACGTACACATACATAAACACATAATTGACAGGCATACATTCTTCTGTTCGGGCCATAAAGTGTTGTATATTAAAATTTTATTTATGCTCGTTTCAAGCATCAAACAAACGACGTATAAACTAAACATGCACGCATTTGTATCAGCATACGTATATATACACATGTATGTTTGTGTATGAGTGTGCTTATATTTGTGTACATATATGTGCGTATACATACAGGTATTTGTGTATGAGTGCGTATATATGTGTATGTATGTATGTGTATGTGTGTGTGTATGTATATATATATGTATGAATGTGTGTGTGCGTGTGCGCGCGTATGTAGAGTTGGCATATTTCTTACGATTTAGCATGAAATTTGCAACAACTGCGTTGCTTTTGAATACGGTAATTAATAACACGCCTTAGCATGAAATCATAAATACGCAGCCGTAAGCCAACGTACCTTACATACAAACAGATACAAACCTGCATACACAGAAATACAGACACGTACAGGCAAACATACGCGCACATACAAACATACAAGCAGATACATCCAAGTAGAAGATACAGACACGCACATACAAACAGGTTTAAACTTACGCACACATACAAATACATAAGCAAATACGACTATACATACACACATACACATACATGCGCAATTAAATGCGTGTAAGACAAAAGTTCTTCTATCTTCCAGTTTTATATGTGCATCTTCCCTCTTTAACATCATCCAAATTATACAAAAAACCACATATACAGTAAAACACACTACAACAACAACGTCACATTCAATACAACACGATACAACAACAATATATACAATACAAAGCAATACAAAGCAATACAACAACAACAACAACGTCACATTCAATACAACACGATACAACAAAGAACAATATATACAATACAACACAATACAACAACAG